TTTAAGCTTAAAAAAAAATATCAAAAACAAACAAATTAGAAAATAAATCTATTCTTAGTTATACATCTAAATTTATTTTATAGAAAGAATATATTATTATTAGAAAATTAATAAATAAAGAATACAAAACAGCAGCAAATATATACAAATTCTTAAAAAAATATGAAAAAAATTAGAACGATTTAAAAAATTCTTAAAAAATATAGATTTAAAGCTTATACTCAAAAAAAAAATACCTTTTTTGAGTAAATAACATAAAAAAAATCTGATTAAAATTTGTAAAACAATATTAAAATTGGATTATAAATGATTGAAATATAGTGGTTTGATCTGATGAGATTAAATTTCAACTTTTAAACCTAAAAATGAAAATATTGCTGGAAAAAATCTATAAAACCTTTAAAAAATCAATACATAATTTCTATAATTAAATTTGATAAGTAAGAGTAGTATTAATTTTTTGGAATATTTTATTAACTTCAATATAGTATATTTGATTAGAATTGAAGAAAATTTTAATAGTAATCTCTACAAACAAATTTTAAAAGATCAATTGGTGTAATCATTAGATTATTATAATTTAAATCCTAAAGATATCATAATTCAACATGATAATAATCCAAAACATGAGACAAAAATAGTTCAAAAATGATTGAACACAAAAAATTAAATATATTTTTTGGTTATCACAATCTTCAGGCTTAAATCTATTAAAAAATATCTGGAATTATGTGAATGATTTAAACATTAATATTAAAGATAAAGAAACTTTCTGGGATAATTTATTAAGATCTAAAATCATACATCTGAAAAGGTTTGTAAAAAAATATATATGTAGAAACAATGCCTAAAAGAATTAAGGATATTATTAAAAGCAAAAAGTAATTATCAAGATGATAATAAAATTTATATATATTTGTATAATTTTAAATAAATAAAAAAAATTTTTTTATTAATTACTGTATATTACTATTTATTATACACATTAATTGCATCATATTGTACTCTGCGCTGCGTATCTATATTATAAATTTCATCGTGATTTTGATTAAAATTTTAACAATTAAAGATCGACGAACAGGTGTTGCGTTCTTTTTGGCAGACGCTGTATTAAAAAATAACGGATAATAGATATATTTTATGCTTTATTTGTAAATGGCATGACCGTACTATTTCTATTTACACCAATAAAGACCTTTTGACCTACGTTAATGTACATTTGTCACCAATAAAATCTGATATGGACAATAATCTTTCGGGGTAACGATATGAGTATGGATTAACGGCAAGGGTTATATATTTATTATCTATATTAAATTTATAATTTTGGGATTATATCGGAGTAAATGCTATTACAAAAAGAAATTAAATCAAGATCGATTTATTATTTGAATTCGTCCTACATCTGTGATAATTGTTGAAGTTGGTGGTATGAGTAAAAAACGTCATATCTCATAAGTTATTACACCTCTGGGCTTTACCCATTATGTTTTGTCTTTTGCCACAGATTAACGCTTATGATTACTAATTTTAATATAACAAGAGCAAAAAAGTGCAAGAGGCAATCACGCAGTGGCTATAGATCCAATCAAACATTTCGCCTACGTAAGGTGGAAAAACTTCTGGTCATTTCTGACCTTTTATCGTCCAAGTTTATAAGTAATTCCGAACTAATTTTTACATATAAAAAGGCGAAAAAAAATATTTGCGGTGCCCTTTACCCGTTTCATGATAATAATTAACGAATTAAAGGACCAAACCATTTAACAAGTCATAATAATCCAATCCACGATAAATACTAAAAATTGTTTCACTCGAAACACTATCTGTTTTCCCTACTACAGTATTAAGGTTTACTTTTATTTTTTTTGTATACTAAGATACCCCACGCTCGTGTATACTGTATATGCCAACGAACATTTTTCGGCTATAATTCCGTCCCTTCTACAAGTGATACCATGCTTAATGAAATTCTTGCAAATCGTGATGCCAGACTTGATGAAGTCGAACGCATCCTTCGAACCTACCATAACAATTTTGAAAGGATGGCATTTGAATTTGAATCAATTAATGAATCTATCACTATACTCCGAAGAATTGAATCCACCGAGGAAGTAGAACTTCGAGATAATGACACAACCTCATCTGACCAACAAAATTATGCAAATCAATTCGAGTCATCCTCTGGTTCGAGTTAACGCATTTTCGGATATAACTTCAGAAATTTGGAACTAGTTTGAGATCGTTTTTGATAGAATTATGGCAGAAAGGAAAGTTCTTTAGGTGAAATGTGTGGTATTGTATCCGTTAGTATTCCTAATCTTAGCTTAGTAGAGACATAATCAAAATTATTATCGTAGAATTAACGATTTAAAAAGTAGTAAATTAGATAAATTGGTGCTTTGACCGATAGGAAAACAGTTAATGGTGAGCAGCGGTAAAAGGAATCGCCATTATATGAGTTAGGACTCGACAGCTTAAAAAGTAGGAGTATTTTTATGCCTTTCCGCCCTTGAAACGCTGCCTCTCAAATCATTCATTTTTACTTGGCCGGTCGCTCCTTTCTCATGCATTATTTTATAATAAAGATTTTACTTTGAATTGCAAAGCTTGATACATTTGTGCGACCCATATGAATACATATTCCTGAAAAATAAGGTTGGTAACTTGCATTTTATTGCAGATTCTTTGTTTTGGTTACAATGACCACTGAAATCTGCTATCTGATATGTGTTATCAAAAATTTTGGAATGTATCAGCAAAAATGATTATGCTTGAATTCAAATTAAGCATAAAATTTTTTTAATAACTCTTGGCGCAACCGGTTCAAAACTCTATTTCCAATTTTGAGAAATTGAAACTAAAACAAATTACAAAATAATTTACAATGAATGTGTCGTTTTTGTATTTAATATTGTTCTCATTGAAAACAATATTACGGATATTTTTTAAAAAACGCAAATTATATCTCAAACTTTTTAGGGAAGCAGAAATTAATATAAATACTTCAAAGAAATCCTTTATCTTAAACTGTCGCCCTAAAATATATGCAGAATCCTTGACTCTATATTCTAACAGTTAACACAATTATCATGCGCTTCTACTTTGTTCGAAAGAAAACATATCATAAATTAAAACGTAATAAGAATATATTGGAGGAAGAGAAAAATAAATGGATAAGAGAATGTAATGAATTGAAAAAGGAGATTGAGGAAGTGAAACTCAATACTAAAGATCAATATATACAAAAAATAAGTGACTTAGAAAAAAAAGTCTCTGATTTGAAAGCTCCGCTTGCTGCAATATACAATCTTGCCAAAATTTCAGAAACCATTGATAACGATAATAACGCCAGCGCTAGTTCTGAAATTTTATACTATTGACAAAATGGGAGAAGAGCCGTTGTCTAAAATATCGGCAATAAAAAAAAATATGGAAGCCCTTTATTCATGCACAAGATCACATAAATATTTTATTTTTCTTGTATTAATTAAAGGAAACCGAGGGAAATATTTTTATATATACGTAAAAAGATCTTCAATATATTAGTGCTGAAATAAATGGGATGAGTCCGGAAAATAAATAGAGTGGGATAGAGTACCTATATACTGTATCTGTAAACAAAAAATAAAATTACACAATTACTATGTGGTGAGATAATTCAAACGATCAGGTCCTTTTGAAACTTCATCCCCCTAACTGCTAACCACTTTCTTATTATTAACCTTTGTCGGTAGTACATTTCTTTGTTGCTTATAAGGAACAGCATTTCTTACTCTTACAGTACCTCAGATGTCTTAACAGAATCGATTCTTCTTATGTCTCGGATGAATAGGAGGGACCCTTACATTTTTTATTAATCAGTGAAGGAACTGTTTCATGTATTAAGTCAAGTCAACCACAGTCTCCCTATCTACATATTCACCAAATATTATAATTCTATCCCTAAGGATTTTACATCTCTTTCTAGTCTTTCTGATAGCTTCCTGCTCTCTAGATCCATGATCAAATCAATGCTTTTGATCGATTACCATTTTTGCGATATTTTATCTATGCAATATCTTACTGCGTTCATGATCGATTCCTGCATATGAATTATAGAGAACCAATTTGGAAGCCAATCACCTGAAAGATCTTATCGAGGAGTATCCCGGTCCTGAAGGAACCCACTAACCTATCAATGTGATTAGTCTTCATCGAAGAATATGAATGACCTTTCCTTATCACATGGCTCTCACTCTTTCTTATGTTGATTATAATATGGTTTTTCCCAGGAGAGGCATGCTTATCTGGCGAATGTCTTAATGCCTCACTGAAAATATTCGTAGCATTCGATAAATTCTTTCCTCTGTGTAATACGCTGCAAATACGCATCCTAATATCGAAGTAGTGGCACATCATGTTTTTTAGAAATCTATTAACATTTAGCTCCGGGCGGGCTCAGCTGGATCTCTTAACTTCCCAGAAAAATTTAAATGATGGATTCACGTAAGCAGTTGTCTAGCTCTTCATCTTTTCTCATAAAAATAAACACTCGAGGGATGCCCCCCGGGTCTTGGTTTTTTACATAGCAGTTGCTTTACCATTAAGGAGTTCCAAGTTCATCCGGGACGTATACAAAGCATTATAATTATTTATCAGCTAGGGCTAGTTCATCGGGTCTTTTAGAAATATCATAGACATCCAATCTCTCCATAACCGATTCAAATAAAAATCCATCTGGAAAACGAATGCCTTCATCCTTACTCAGTTGGCGACGCTCTTTTTGAATTTTGTTTGATGTGCAGGTTGTTTGTTGGTCAAACATAGCAGATAAGTATTATTTTTTCAGGAGTATCGAGATCCTGCAACTCCATTCGAGCCCAAGGTATACGTGATGAACTATCAGAAGCATCATTAGATGTTTCGACTAAGGCTCTAAGAATTTTTCCACTTCTTTTTCATTAAGGTTATCTCGTACAATACGCTGAGCCGTTTCTTTGTTAGTCTCTCCTTCTGTAATGATGTCAGATACTTTGCATACATTCACTTACGCTCCCGCTTCCGACCCTAATTCTTTGAAAGTTTTTTGACTTTCACTTCGTCCAGTCCTATGAGAGGGGACCAATACGAACGTCTGCTCTTTCTTTTCACTGTATCCGTTAGAGATTGAGTAGCTCTAGGGGGGTTGGCTAAGCTCTTCATTACTCATCTTTGAGCTTGAACCCAATGCGTATAACAACACGTCGAAGCCGAAGATAAACCACTTTATGAGAATAATATTCGTAAAACATTTCTCCGGAATTCAAAAGATAAACTCTTTATCGCCTACGAAACAACGAAAGGGATTAGAGGAGGGATTGGTTTTGGAGGATACTATCATATTTCTGATTCACGGTCCTCTTGAAGAGACTATAGTGAATTTTTTCGATCTTGATAATCAAACGGCCGTAGGGTGCTAGAATAGCGGTAAATCAATAATATCTATATAAACTCGCCTATACCTCACATCAATTGAAGCAATTTGCGAAGGATCTAACATGTTGGTAGATTTGAGATAGCAATGCCATATATAACAGCATCCTCCCATTACTTAATATAATATTTATAATAAATTTTAATTTAAAATAAAAAATATCTTATTTTCTATAATTTTGAAAAAAATTTTATTATAATAAATACACAAATCTAACTCAGTATCTTGTTTAATAAAATTAATACACTATTAATATTTTTAACTATTGAATCAGTTTAGATCTTTTTTATTGAATCAATTTTATAATATTCATATTTTTATTATCTAAACCTTCTAATAAATCATCAATTTCAGTATAATTATTTATATAGTAATAATAATTTTTTTTTAATCCACCGTCAGGCTGACACAGCTTATCTTTATTGTGTGTTTTTTAAAAATGTTATACAAATTAAAAGATTTTTACATAACAGCTCACCCATCTTAGAAGTTTAACTTCTCTAGATGCAACTTAGGAGATGATATTTTGCTCTCTTAATAACTTGAATTATCCTTTAGCTATCAAGTTCATTGCTTACAGGTCATCACTGTAAATCACTCAAAATTCTAAATGGCAAATCAAATACTTAACTACTTTTCCCCTTTCACTATCCATCTTTCAATAATTTTCTTGAGGTTTATACCTTTGGATTGTTCTTTATTTAATATCTTGTCTAATGAAGGGATATTCTCTTTTTCATTTATACAGTATTAATTTTTTTTTTTTTGAAGCTGGCTCAGCCCCCAGTTGATCTTTTTTTTAGCTTTTACTCAGATATTACATTGTGCTATCAATTTTAGAGCTAACTAGAAATCAGACTATACTAGCATATATGTGAAATTGCTATGAAAGATACCTTATGGATCGGATCTCCAGGTGGACCTCCGTGGCTTGTTGCCTTCCTTTCAGAAAACTAGCCTGCCTAAGCTGAGTTAGCGCTATTTTCCTTAAATTTTCATGAAAAAAGGAAACTAAAAGTTTTGATTTTCTTCCAGTCCAAACCAATTTCAATTGTTAGTTTCCCTGATCAGTCTTTTTGCATATTCTGGTTCCATTTGCCTCTTGCTCTCTTTTCCGATTTAGTGATTCCTTAGGATTTTTCACATTCTCCAGTTGCCTCGCATCTCTGTAGCCAAGTTTCTCTTGCGAGATTCTGTATTTCTTTGAAGCACTCTAAGAGAGTATACTTGGCTTTCTTTTTCTTGAAAATTCTGGCCCACTCATAGATCACATTTGCGATTTCCTTGAGAATTAAGCTCCTAGATATCCTGTTAATCCGGGTGTATTGTACATTATGTTCAGCCTTCTTGACCCATCTCTGGACCCATAATTTACTTTGTTTCTCTCTACTTTGAAGGTAATTTGATATGACCTCTAGCATGCACAGATTAAAGTCAAGTTTGTTTTCTCTGTATATGAGAACATGTGTCTGGTCCTCGGTGACCGCATTGCACCTGATGCATCTATTGAATTTGTATAAATCCCTTCTTCTAGAATGTAGTTTAACCATGGTCAGTAACTTCTGTGCCCAGGACTTCAATTTAAAAGCCCTTCGTTAGTGATTCTCCATGTCTGTCGGGCTTACGGTTATCCTTCTGAAATGTAAGTAGTCCACTATTGCTTCCCAGTCGATTCTATTGTTGAGTAGCATGAGGTCCTGATTTCTCTCTAAACTATACCAATCAGTGATCTACTTGTTCCTGAAATGGTTACGGATAGCTTCCCTGACATTAAAGTTGGTGATCCCATCCTTATATGCTAGCAATAGTTCTTTCCTATTAAGTGGTATTATGTTGAGACGTGTGGTTTGCTATTTAGATCTTGCTCGCTTGGCCTCACTATCTACTTTGGTGATGGTCAAGTTGCCATTCCTTTAGATCTTTTTCACTTTAATCTTGATATTCTTTAGCTTCACAAAATCTTTTATATATTCTGTGAGTCTCGCTATCTTGCTCTTGTTCCTGTTGATTGTCAGTGCTGTGGCTACCATCTGGCTATCTATGTTTATAGTTGCTTCTGTTTTGTGTGGGAGGGATATGAGGGCTACTATAATTGCATTAAGCTCAGCCTTATTTGGTGATGTTTTTTGTAGAATCTTGAAAGATGCAATTTCTGTTTTTTCCCCTGATTTAAGGTTTTTAACCTAGAAGGTGATTGTATGAAATCTCTTGTAGCAATTCACATCCGTTGTGACTCTAACTCTCTGCCATTCTTTCGTGTCCTGTTGAAGTTGACTGATTTTCACTTTGATTGTCTTATCCTCAATCCATTCAGTCCAACCCTTTGTGCAGATGTGATTGGAAACATGGATGTCTTCAAGGTCCCAAGATTCATAACTTCTCTGGTAATTCATCATAGTTTTGATACTTTGTAGTGACATTAAGGGCTCTGTCACTTTGCTTACACATTGATCTGTGGTGCTTTGCTTATTATTTCCTGGGATTGCGATCGAATCTTTGTTTGCCATTTCTATGATACAAGTATTGTTAGTGGTTGATTTGTTCAAGTCACACCTGACACATGATATTATATAAGATGAGTGTGGTTGTTGGGTGTAGTATCTAACCATCGTTGTGTTAGTGTCCTTTTTTCTCAGTCTTTCTATGAGTATTTCTTTCTCCCCTGTATTTCCTTCAGCCACAATCCAGATTAACTTGTGTTTCTTTAGGGATCTGCTGCTCCATCTTTTTGACCAGACCATATTGTAAAAGGGGTTGACCCCTGGATAAAGATTTGTCAATCTTGTCACGAAGCCTGGATTAATTGTGTAATAATTTCGCTCTAAACTGCACCCCCCTGACCATGGATCACCTGAATTTTACCCCTGGAAATCTCTAGGCAGATCTGAAACACCGGCTGAAACATTTGCCTATCTTTTATTCCACTGACACAAGGATGAAGTGCATCAACTTCACACTTGTTTCATTTCACCTTTTAAGGGTAACAGGGCTGAAACACTTGGGGTTTCATATTTAATATTGTTTGTTTCATTATTATTATTCTTTTATTTCTTTTCTATTTTTTTATTTTAAGGACAATATGTTTCATAAGTCTTCCGAGAGCATTACACCATTTCAAGATTTATGTTTCATATGTATTTTTAATTATAGATTATTTATTATTTTTAATTATTTATGTTGGAGAAAACATGTATAAATATGTCCAATTTTGACTCAATAAAGCTCTCAGATTTTGAGTTTGATTTTCTCGTAATTTCAAGTCTCCAAAAGTCATAATAAAAGTGTTTTATTTTGAACTTTTACATCTGGTAGCAGCAGTTGTCCTGTCATCTTCTTGGGTATAACACACTTCCTTTACAACACTTTCCTCTTCTCTACTACTCTTTCTTTTCCACTTTTCTTTTCTTTAACACTATTCCTAGGGAAACTCTGTCAAAATGGATGCCGCGCAATTTGCCACCTTCATGAAAACCTTTCAAGAAACTTTGAAAGTTCTTGCTCTGGAAAAAGGGAAAAATGCCACCGCTTCTTCTTCCTTATCATCTTCTTCTACTGAGCCTACACCAAGGATCTCTGTTGAAATTCCTGCCTATAAAGGTGAACCTGGGAAAATGTAATTGTTTGGCTCTGACAAGTAAAAAATATTTTCAACACAAGGTTTCAAGGATGAAGGTGTAATGGTATACTATGCTGCGACAGGATTTGAGGATGCTGCTCTCCATTGGTTTGTGAACAAGGTTAGGGATAGCAAGGCCTCTGGGATAACAGCCTTTGCCAGCTGGGATACTTTTTGTAAATCTCTCAAGGAAGCCTTTCAACCTCCCAACTACCAACATTATCTGAGGACACACTTGAAATCTCTCTGTCAAACTTCTACTGTACAGGAGTATGGGATGAGGTTCCGCAATATCATTGAACAAATTGATAATATGAATGAGCTGGATAGGGTCTCTTACTTTATTGATGGATTAAAACTAACCACATGCAGGGAAGTGGCTTATAAGGCTCCTGACACACTGGAGGAAGCTTGGAATTTGCCATCGCTTATGACATTGCCATGTTTGGAATGAACCAACCAAGAGGAAATCAACAATCAAGGCACCGACCATCACAAGGAGGAAGGTATCAACAATCATCACGAGGGGGACACCACCATAGCTCTAACTCCCAATCCATGGAATTGGACTATGTTGAATCTTCTCAAGGAAACAATCAAGGGAACAGAAGGGAACAACCACTATGAGGAAACTACCATATCTGTGGAAAGCCAGGACATTGGAAAAGGGAATGTCCACAAGCCAACACCATCAACAACAACAAGGGTAACAACAGGAACAACACTAACAATCACAACCACAACAGAAAAGGAAACTTCCACAATCTGGAGAACACCACATTATATACACCGCCATTCAACTCAAACAACAACTTGGAACTGACCAATGCTGAGGAAAATCAGGAAAGGCTGCTTCGTGTAAATGGAAAAAATAATAGACACTCTACTTGGATCTTGCTGGACTCTGGGACCTCCAGGAACTTTTTGAATAAAAACTTTGTCCACTGCTGTCAAATCTCTATCAAGGGTACACCTACTGTCTCTATTGAACTTGCTGATGGAAGGAAATAGGAAACCAACCGCATCACCCATATTCAGGACCTTCACTTGGACACTTATCACACTACAGGTATCTCAACCCAGGTTATAAAAATACAGTGATATGATGCCATTCTTGGGAAGCCATGTCTCTACCATTCCAATCCATCTATTGATTGGAGGACCAACAAGCTTACCTTCCAATATGGCCACAAAAATATCATCGTCAGGGCTGATTCTATCAAACCACAACAACCAGGCTGTAACTCTGTTTTTATCTCTTACCAACAATTGGCGTGCACTTCTACCTCTGCTGAACTCTTTGCTATCTTCTGGAACTCTGCTGAATCTGAACCACCTACTCATTCAAGGGAAGTGCAACAACTTTTGAA